CTTCACAATACCAAATATAAATAGGTGATCACGTATTTCCCCAACTTCCTAATGTATCTGATTCAAACAACGAACACATGGACAAAAATATGCCCCTTTGATGGGTTTTCCATTTTCTCTTGCAAATTGTAAAAACTATTCAACTCCATTTTTGTACTCTTAACTAATGCAACATGCATTCATCCAACTTTGATTCATTATCTATATATTAACACAAATTAAATATTGACTCAGTTATTCATAATTATTCTAACCTAAACTACAACCCTAAAAAATCGATAGTAATTTCAAATAAAATCGATAAATACTTCTACTAATATGATGCTAAACTAAAGGTTAATGCCTAATTTGGTCCCTCTTAATAATTAAATTCTCCTTCTTCAATGCATCTGGAACGGCCCGTTCTGAAACCAGAACGAGCCGTTCCACTTGCAGTTTTTGGTTGTTCATTGTCTAGTTGGAACGACCCGTTCTAGTTTCAGAATGGGCCACTCCAAATGGACAATGAACCACCAAAAACTACAAGCAGAACAAGCCGTTCTAGTTGTAGAACGGCCCGTTCCAAATGGGCAGTTCACAAACAATAATAGCAAGCAGAACGGGCCATTCTGCAAGACGGTCCGTTCTAGAAGCAAATTGAACAAAAAACCTAATGCAAGTCAGGATTTTTGAAACTAACCTCACACAGGCCCAATGCAAGTCAGAAAAGGATGTCAGTGATGATGAGAAACGTACAAACGAGGCTACTCTTTTACATACAATGTGTTACTCTCAAATCTTTTACAAAGAACTTAAGCGCGCGCGGGAAAAAGAGAACGCGAAGGGGTGTGATATAGACGCTCTTTTACGTCAGACGTGGTACCGTTCGACGTAAATTTTAAAATCTACGTTAGACTCCAGTGTCCTCCGACATAGATTTTAAAATTTACGTCAGACCCTACTAGGTCTGACGTAAAAGAGTTGAAATTTAATTACAAAAATGTCACCGCATCTTTGTTACGTCGGATTTTGGGATGTCTAACGTAAAACACGTGACGTAATAGCTTATTTTTCCACTAGTGATAGATATTAAATCAATTAGATTCTACATAATAAAAAATTTAACACACCTATGTATCTATTGGACTTGACCCAACAATAATTGATATATACTTACACATGGTGATCTTTAAACTCAAAATAGATTACATAATAAAATGAACTTAAAAAAATATATACGTTAGGTAAAATTGAATCCATTTTAATAAAATAAAATCACACTAATTAATAAAAATCCAAATAAATAAAAATTGTGACACAAAATCCTTAATCTTAGATAAAGAAAAACAATTTATGCTTTTGAATATTTTGAGTTTAGGCAATTTTTAAGTTATCTTTAATCAGTTTTTAGGACCGGAACAATTTCTCGGTATGTGTAAGAGTGTCTATCCATGAATGTTTTTTCCGTGGTTTAATGAATGATGAAGGTTGTTATCCAGCAAGATATTTACTCATGCATGCAAAGAATGTCCCGAATGAGCACGGCAGCGCGGGGCAGGGACCATTGACAATACTACTATCCTATAACGACACATCCCCAATCAAAACGATTCTTGATCACAGCTTCTCTCTCTCTTCGTTTATTAGGCATGCCACTTTTGGAATCCACGTTCATGGGAGTGACAAATTAAAGTTTTCCATTTTCCATTCTCTTTAGGGCTCCTCTGGTGGGAGAAGGGTCCCATACATGAAGTTGATCATTCGCTAGCTTAATACTGAGAAGATGGTATTGGAATCTTTGAAGGAGGGGAAAAGGTTACTCCAAAAATCTTCAAAGCTGACAAAAAAGATTCCTAGTTGATTTCCACGATTGAATTACTTGTATGGTGGGGTGACCAATCGTGTTTCACAGGGGCTATCGCCAATTCACATATTCAAAATTCCACTCGATGGAATGTGCATAGTTATCGATGTATATGCGTTTGACACCAGATGCAACCTAACGTAGTTGCTAACTACTAATCTTGTCATGGCAAACACCCTCATGCAACTTGGCGCGCTAAACACAGCCTGTACGTAGTTTTGGATACTAAATAATCAACACGCTAAATCGTGTCATATCGGAGTACTACGTATGAAGCTGAATATTAATGACATTTATGGTCTCAATTTACAAGTGCAAAATCCCATCATTATTAATCTAGATATTTTTTTCCCAACTGGAACTAGATCATTCTAGGAATTATGCAAATATATGTAATAGAAATAGTCAATAGAAAACATGTAATAATTTTACTTAATTGGTGAAATTAAAGAACTGGTTTTTTGTTGGACACATCCCACTACAGTATGCTACATCTAACTTTGCCACTTTTGGCTTTTTAGTGTGTAAAAAATTGAATTCTCACTTGTCTATGATATATACATGATTATATACACGATGTTAATCGTACAAAAATTATTATAAACACAATTTATAAAATTACAGTTATAGAATGTGAAACTGGGTGTAATGCAGTTATTCTTGCACTAGAGAAAGAGAGACCGGGATCTCATATAAATAAACATTATTTCTCTTTATTTTATGTCTTATTTCTTATTTTTTAAGTAAAAAATAACAAACAATTACAATCAAGAAAGAAAATACTACATATATTTTTTTAATTATGGCATAATATTTTTTAATTAGAGAAAAAATAAAATAAAAAAATAAGGACAAACTAAAAATAATAATAAAATATTTAATAAGGTATGTTTAGGTAAACGATTTAATAAAAATGATTATTTAATAAATTCTTATTATCCCAAAGTTTATGCCACAAATCTGACTATGAAACTTGTAGATATAAATTAAAATAAACTTGTTAGGATAACTTTCATTAAATTAATAAAAATATATAAAAATCATAAGTAATTTTCACAAACCTAAATAAGTTTCTTATGAGTTCTTTCAATATTATTTATTCTGTTTGAGTTAGGTTTTGGAGGGGGAAAAGAGAGGACGCCTTTTTATTTTCCACTAAAATATTCTCTATTCTTAAGTTTAAAAAATAAATAAAGCGATAATTTAGCATAAACTTAATGCTATTTTTTTTTAATTGTAATCGGTATTGCATAACTTTTAATATATAAAAAATAAAGTTTTCCTTTCCTTTCCTTTCAAAATCCTACTTACAAGTCCCAAATATACTCCAAGCATATAATTAACAATTAGGATTAAGATTAATAGAATATGTTGTTGCCAAATGGTTCCCTTCTGCTTACCTTTTCATTTTATTCCTTTAAGTAGGAAATCAAATTAGAAATTTGTGATATGTAAATGAATCAAAAGGAAAATTTAAATATTTAAAGGGATCAAATAAAAAAATAAAAACTACAGAATAATTATTTGGTAAAAAAAAATTGTTTTACAAGGACTCGTTAAATAAATGAAAAATAAATAAATTAAGGACCTATTTAATTTGCATCCAAAATTAATTCTCCCTCGTGTACACATTTAAAACTTCAATGTAAAATTTCAACGATATTAATTTCTTTAATCAAATGAATGATATCATAATTTAAACACGCGTAACACACGTCTTAATGATATTCCATCAAAATCAATTTTACTTTATAAAGTAAAAATATACCACCAAATTGCAATCTAGCTCCGTATAGAGAAAATTCGGATCTAATGCTTCTATGCCTACGTATTTGTTGATCAAATCTGAAAATGATATCTAATCCTTATCGCGTAGATGTACCTATATTGATGCTAGCTACTACTTGCATTTGATTTCTCTAATCCAATTTTCAACCAATCCATAAAGGAATAATCGCATGGAAGCATATTTTCTTTCCCCAATTTAGAATATTCTCTGTGCTTTTTCATGGGCCTACCAAATTGAACAGTTCTATAGTACATCTAACTGGGGCTTAATCAAATGTGGTAAGTACATTTTATTCAACGATTCTTAAACTATACATCATTTCCATTTTAATCAAATGTGGTAAAAAAAAATACAATTATTGAAGAGCCCGTCATCTTAAATTTGCAGACTTGGCATGAAATTACATTAGGATTAATAAAGATTTTTAAAATTCATTTTTCATCTCCTATTAAATAAATCATACTAAACTTTTTTTTTTAGAGTAAAACAGTTTTTTTATTAGATCATATTTAGTAGATACAAGATATACTCTCTACAAACTACATGCTTTAAAACACCTAAACATCACTACTTCACTAGGCGAGTCAACAAATTTAAGATGCAAGAGTCCCCTTGGTGAATGAACACATTTCTTCATACCTCCAACAACTCCAAACTTTAATCTTCACTGAATTTACAATATCCACAATAGCCAACAAATTTACTCGTTTATCTCTTTAAACAACATTTCTAGCCTTCTACATGTCTCGCACCACAACAAATCAAATCAACTTCCACTTTTCCCCCATCACTCCCACAAACTGCTCAACAACCCAATATACTGTAAAAATTAACATTAAACTTCATTATAAAAAATTATTTCACACCTTAACCATGATAAACATATAGAACATACCTTTAAAACCAAGAGCATTCACCAAAACGTACTCAACCGAGACAAAATTCCCCCCTTCTTACCTTTAGAAGCAACAACTTATTTGATACTCTCTCACTCATGTCATTTCTTTCATTACACACTCCTTACCGAACAAAGGATATAAACACCAATTGTATCCTTACTCCAACACCTTCAGTTTTGTTCCTCCCTCTAACTACATCGTACAAGGTTCCACTACTTGTCATAATAAACTTAGCCCTCAATCCATTCCCCCCCTATTTCCCCAGAACAGAAAAACAAATCACTAAGCAGTTTCCTAAAAGTAAGAGAGCAAACAGATAACTATGCCGTTTCCCCAAAGTAAGAAAGCAAACAACTAAGCCAAATGCTATCGGATCAGAAAAAGAATTTATCCCTTAGTATTAATTAAACTAGAACTTGTCCCCAAAAAAGAAAAACTAAGCTAGAACTCTATAACTCTACGTACAGGATTCTACGCTTAACCACATAACATTATTAATTTTTGGGTAACTAAATTTCCTTTTTGAAGGTATACAACTGCATCATAGTTTATCAGTTAAAAAAACAGAGTATTCTTCAGATACAGTTTGGTTGGTATTTTTTCGTCCAACCATTCTTTCTCCCATTAACCTATTTACCCTAACACTTAATAGAATGTAAAGAACACAGCACTTATTCAGCGCTAGTGTCTTCAACAGATTTCTTGTACTCTGGCTTCAGCTCGTAAGTTCCTTGATTGGCGCCCCTTTTATTGTACACACACAGTTCATTCAGGATCTCTTTCAAGAATTGCTGCAAAAGAAAAAGTAACAGTTAATTTGAGATCTTTTTTCAAAAATTGCTGCAAAAGAAAAGAGTGTGGAGGGTGTGTGTGGGGACATGCGGCAGACGGTATGGTGGAGTGTGAGCACATGCAAGTGGGGTGTGCATGCCATGTGTGTATGCTACAACACAACATCAAACTAGGAAGTCAAGAAAAAGCAAACAAGCATACCGCAGGTTGATCAGTCTCTTGGACAAGCTGTTTCAAGGCCCAATTAGGCTGTCTTTCAAATAGCTTGAACATTATATCTTCCAGTTCTCCCCGATCTCTTCTTGTTCTCTTTGTATCAGATTGCTTGACTGGCTGTGTCTTCTTCTTGTCCTGTGGGAGTTTCATAAAAAATAAAAAGTAAAAATCACAGAAGTATTCCATGCATACAAACATTTGACAGAGACCAAACTTTCTCTTTGGAACAAATATTATTCATCTTCGTCCAATGAATTTTCATTGAGATAGCATTAATTTATGATGGTATCATCTCATGGATATTGCTTATGAGTTATGACAGTGAATATTATATCATAATGTATTTTAGAGTCATGATTCTTGTATGTTCTAACCATTAATGTAAAACTTCTACACAGGTGTAAAATTTCACAGAAGCAACAGATAGCGACAATTAGAAGCATGTTAGCAGCATATCTAAGAGGAGATCATATATTGTGTACTTCAGGGTACCTTGGCATTGGATGAAACTAGACCAATCATCCCAGGCATTGGCCTCATTAGAACTCCACGATCATTATCAATAACCTTCCAATTGAATCAAAGAAACCAAAGAATCAGTTATTTAATTTAATTTCATCATAGACAGAATGAAAGAAATATTAAGGGATAATTAAATAATTAACATGAACAGCTACCTGTATTTGTCGATTTTTAATCATAGATTTGTTTGTCCTCTCACGGCACAATTTACCGTACTCTTCAATGTTTTCACCATGGGGCTTCATATCAAACTTATGCTCTACTTTCCCTTCCATTGCAACCTTGCCACCTAAAATAAATACAGAAGCTGTTACCTAACTCAAGGCAGCTAAGTTTCAATGGGACTATGGACGGAAAACTCTGTATATACAAGCGCTATTAAATGTATAACAATACATAGTTATCACTTGCCAATGCTATTATACTACACAACGCAGTGATGATTTCTATAGAATACACAGAAATTTCAGTGAAATAAAATAACATTGGTATTTAGTTATTTACTAATGCTACATAAAATCCAAGCACCCTTCCTTTTCAGATTTACTTGTCTTCCCATTGTTCCATCTCAATATAAACACCACGTGTACAACAGAAATTAATTTATCATTTCAGGGATTTTTTTAACAAAAGTCAGACAGAAGAAAAATGACAGAAGAATCGCAAAGAATAAGGAAAAAAGTCTTAAATTATTCAACTCATTTAAAACACCTGACAGTCTGAGCGGTCTACTTATTAAATAATCCAAAATCAACATAGGAGGTTTCATATGCTGTTCCACCAATAAGGATGGCACTGGATATGGGTGTGGGAAAAATAATCACCATCCCTATATGGGAAGAGATCTTTATCCTCATCCCAGTCCCCAACCACCTGGTTTCTCCTATTGACTATTACAGATTCACATGGTATGGTACCTAAATTTAGTACCTGTCCCCATTTATTACATACATCAGAGGAAGGGGTGGACCCCCCCTTAAGCTCCACTCCAAAAAGATTACACAACAATACATTACTAACATAACTAATTTAATAACCATAAATACAAAGATGAACAATAACATAAATTTTTAACCATTATCCTGATGACAATACAACTTTTATTTTGTTAAGCTATGTGGCTAAAAAATGAAAAAATAATTATATTATATTATATTATCTAAAATTGTTCATTTATATATCTAATATGGATGCATCATGTCATTGATGAATAAAAACTGCTACATAAACCTGAGAATACGATTCTCACCTTGGCTAGTCTCAGAGAAGACGCACATAGGAACGAAGTCTTTAAACATATTCAATGAATAAGTTTTTGACATATTCACAGCATCAGAGCCAGCCATCTCCATTGTAAACTGAAATAATTATGAATGAATCATAAAATCAATGGCTATCTTACATCAACACGAGCAACAAATAATAATCAGAAGCACATATCTATACTGTGAAAAATCTAACAGCTGAATCTTCACTCTTGCAGTCAATAAATTCATATGGGAAAACAGTGCAAAACGTATATAATAAGCAATCATTAAAATACAGAATTTATTTGCCTAAAAATCACTTGTCAAGTCATGAAACTCATTAAAATAAAAATGAATGCTTTTGCAAATCATATTCCATGTTTGGAATACCTTAAAAAATGAATCGAATTCATTTTTAATTAAATGATTTACTTTATTGCCCTTTCTTAGAAAATTCAAAATAGGTATATCAATAAGGAATATATTCCCTATTCTTATTATTAAAACTAAAGTAAATCCACTCAAAGTTGCAAATTTATAAATACACACCATAGTTACCTAATAGCAACACCCTACAGTACGTGTTATGTTAATATATCAAATATATGGTGCACAAGGGTATACTTGGTTGGTACACTAGGGCATGGTTGTTAAACTCAACTGTTACTCAAACTCAAACGAGTTTACAAGCCCACTCCACCAAATAGAGCTGAAACAACCAAATTGATTTTTCTGATGAACGCGTTCAAATGCATGTGAGATTGGTCAAGCTCCCAACTTCAATAGCAAGTGTTCAAGTCCATTAAGGCTTCCATTTCAGAGAAAAACCATAATCAGGCCCCTTCAGGCTCACTAATCCACTTCAAAGGCTCTAGACACAGGCACAGATCTCTCTGTTCTCTCCTTTCATCTGTTTGTCTGCTCACGTTGCATCTGTTCTACGGCACAATTCGGTTCTCCTTTTATCTGTTTGTCTGCTCATATCGCATCTGTTGTCTGGCACAATTCTGTTCTCTCCTTTCATCTATTTGTCTGCTCTCATTGCATCTGTTCTCAGGCGTGATTCCATTCCATCTGCTATTGCCTCTCATTTGTACATCTTCTCTCATCACATCAGTTCCCCAGGCTCAGTTCTCTGAAGACTCTGTTCAGCCAAGTGCCACAGGACTCATTCATCTATTCCCACATGGCTTGATTACACAGCTTCTGTACTTAATCAGTGAATCCATTCAGCTCATGCAAGTCCATTAAGCTCCATTCACTAAGTACCATTGTCTGATATCATAATATGCATGCCACACTGAACAGCTCTTCATATGAATGATTGTTATAGGTTCATGAACTTTTACTCCGAAATAAGGGGAGTACTCCCTTCCTGTTCTTTCCCCTTCCATCTTCCTCATTATCTTTCATTGACTTAGTCTAATTTCTGTTTTGTGTCTAATATTATATTATAATATGTGGTGTGTACTATCCGTGAGTATTGCATTATTAGTTGCATTAAAAGTATTATGTTTACGCGTATATGTTATTTATAGGTTTCTTAGGTAAACTCTAACAAGTTTACAGTCAAGTCTATGACGTCTTCCCAAGTTTATATAAACTCTCGATTTTGAGAACCTTAAACTTGAGACACTTATCTCATCCCAAGGCAAACACAATTTGTGCTGTGGGTAGCTCTCACAAGGTCGGTGGCATAAAAAACGTAGTACTAGGAGGGAGAGGTGATTATATACTCAAGTCCTTATCAGTGTGAAGAAGCGGGACGAAATCTGCCTCCACCTACCGTCAATCCTGATATCCATGATCCACCCATTACCGACTATCACAGCTCCAGCTCTCTACACGTACATCATTTTCTACAATTGGTACCCAAACAAACCACAACCCGGAACAAACAAACCAATTCATAGTCCTAAGGCTAAGGAGAAACCAACGACTTTGCAACACATTAAAAAAAAATCCATAACCACGATTTTCCACAATATAAAAGATCTAATTTAAAATCTTGGTAGCATGGATATGCATACTGCATACAACTCGTATCTAAAGAATTTAAAAAACATGAGTTTCGAATCAAATCAAATAAATTCAGAGAACTAGTCGTGTCAAGCACACTTTTGCAATTGTTTTTTTCCGTCAAACATGCCGCAGGAAAAATATACTACCTCTTAAATTTATTTTTTCTCCGAAATTACAACCAAATTGGATTTTGACAAATTGAAAACGGTATATTGATAACAAGTAAAGTTAATCTTAAGGAGCGACGAAGTATATAATCATAAACCCTTGCGGGTAACGAGAAGAAAAGAAAAGAGGGGCAAAATGGGAAATAGATTAGGGTGAAACCTGAACTGCAGAGGGATCATCCTCCTCAGGGTGGAGAGGATCGAGGGAGAGGACAACCTTAGCGAGAGGTTGAGAAGGAGGATGAGTCTGCCATGACTTGGCGACGACCAAAGGACACTTCATCAGCCACACCGATCTCTCAGCCTTTGTAGTCTCCAAGTTAGAGCTGCTACTCCCACTGTAACCGTTCTCCTCATCCATTTCTCTCTCTCTCTCTCTTCGCACAAAAACCACGCTCGTGTCTGAATAGAGAAAACCGACACCGCCCCAAGTCAATTCTATTTGACCTCGACCTCTTCAAAATTATATACCCTCTTCTTGGGCCCAACTGTTGGACTCTTACGGGCCGACCCAAAAAGTTGGACCATCTTATTTTTACTCCATCGAAAAATATCGTCATCCCGAGATTAATTAAAATAATACAGTACAAATATTAACTACTACTGTGACATCTTATGTTGTACTACATCAAGCATTCCGCATTTTTATCATTTTATATTTTCTATTATTCATAAATACCAAGATATAAAAATCTTTCCCTCTCTAAGATTTTAAAAAGATTTATATTCATCTCTCTCTTAGGGGAGTGTCGCAATAATTTATAACTTCTTAAAAGGTAAAACTATATTTTACTTCTCTCGTTAATTCCGCGAGACTTAAATTTATGTAAAATATGCAAGTTTTAATTTAATTTTTTTAAAAAAATTTAAAATTATTATTTTTAATTTTTATTATAATGTTCAGTCGAAAAAATTATTATAATATAATTGCTTTTAATTACTTATTTAATATTTTAACTATAAATAGATCAACATTCAAGAAGTTAACTAAAATTGTAAATTTATAAAATTAGGAAACTATAATTATGAGATTAAAAATAAAAAATAAAAAAATCAATTGTAAATTTGATATTATAGGAGATTAAAAATATAATTTAACCTAATAAAGAGAATTATCACACACATTATTTTTTGGAATAATCTCATCTCTATAACTACCTTTCAAAATATTCTTCCTCTTTCTTGTTTTTTTTATTAAATTACACTTACAATTCAAGTATCTGTTCGTCCACTTTTATTTCTTTTTTAAAAATTTATCTTGAGTGCTTTTTTAGTCCAATAATATATAATGGTTATAAATATCATTAGAAAATGTAATAATTATAAATATAAGATAAAAAAAATACACTTATAATGATGATGATCAAAATAAATAAAAAAATTAAGTCTTTAAATAAAAATAATAATAACGATGATGAAGTAAATCTTATATTTGTAATTTATACTTGTTTTTACATAATTAATCCAGTAAATAAATTTTAAAAATATGTTAAATAAAAATTTAATATCGATAATTTTATTTCTATCTAAAAATTGTTTATAAATAAAATAATTTTCCTGTAGTAAAATAAAATTTTAATTAATTAATTAGTTAATTATATTTGATGAATAATCATTGCATTAGACATATAATACAATTATTTAAATATGCAATAATAAAACAACACTAAATAATCCATACTAGTCTTTATACTCAAAGATAAAAATGCTACATCAAAATATAATCAGAAATGAAACAAATTTTGAGTCTCTTAATTATTAGCAAAAAAAAAATGTAAGATCAATAAAATTATTATGTAGATAAGCATCTTATCTCTATATCAATTAATGTTAATGGAAATATATTATTTAAATTAAAAATAATAATAATTACAAAATATTATTTAAAATATTTTTTATTATTATTAAATATAATATTTTTAAAACACAAATATATATATATATATATATATATATATATATATATATATATGTGTGCAGTTTATCACTTCTCTC